GGCTTTCCAAACCGATTCGGGGAACACATGGTCCGATGGCTTGGCAGGTCTGGCCTCAACGTTCGGCCACATAGGCGCTTCCAAAAAGGCAGGGGGCGGCGGTGATTCGCCGTAGGCGTCTTCGATCCGCCGCCCCCTTTTGATTTATCAAAGGGGTGCCTGGCGTGCCGGATGATATGGCTTTTGGTTTGGGTTCTTTTTCCAAAAGAACTCCCCTGGGGCTTCGGCCCGTCCCGCCGGCCACCCTGAAAGGGGCACTAGACCGGCCCCCAAGACGGCTCCAAGAGGGCCCCAAGACGGCCCAAGAGGCCTCAAAGGCGCCCCAGATGGCCTCCTACACGGCTTGGAGCACCCCAAGAGGACCCCAAGTCGGCCCAAAGAGGCCCCCAAGACGGTTTCCGACGTCGCCACACGGGCCAGGAGGCCATCCAGACGGCCCACGATGGTTCCAAGATGGCCCAAGACGGCCCAAGAGGCCCCCAAGAGGGCTTCCAGGAAGACCCGAAGAGGCCCAAATTATTGATTGTCTTTAGGTGTTTGAGGAATTTTGGCATTTGCTTCTTCTCGGCCTTCCGACGGCCCAAGACGGCCCAAGAGCCCCCAAAGATCGCTCCAAGATCACCCAAGAGGCCTCCAAGAAGGCCCCAGACCGGACCGAGAAGCCCCCAAGACGGCTCCAAAGGGGCCCCAAGACGGCCCAAGAGGCCTCCAAGACGCCCACGATGGCCTGCAAGACGGGCTTGGAGCACCCAAAGAGGGCGCCAAGTCGGCCCAGAGAGGCCCCCAAGACGGCTTGCGACGTCGCCACACGGGCAGGGAGGCCATCCAGACGGCCCACGATGGTTCCAAGATGGCCCAAGACGGCCCAAGAGGCCCCCAAGAGGGCTTCCAGGAAGACCCGAAGAGGCCCAAATCATTGATTGTCCTTGGGTGTTTGAGGAATTTTGGCATTTGCTTCTTTTCGGCCTTCCGACGGCCCGAGGCGGCCCAAGAGCTCCCCAAGATGGCCCCAAGATCGCCCAAGAGGCCTCCAAGATGGCCCCTGCACGGCCCAAGAAGCCCCCGAAGACGGCCCCCAGAGCCCTGTGACATGTCCGCACAGGGCGCGCGGCGCCATCATCATAGAGGACGCGGAATCCCAGCCCCGCGGCAGGTCGAGGAGTGAGTACACCGCTGCGCGGGGCGCTCAGGCGCGCAGCGAGACGAAGCTGTCGACGTGCATCGCGGTGGGGGGCGCGCGAAGTACCAGCGGAGCCCCCGGTTGCATATAAGAGCTCGCCCAGGGGGCTACCAGCCTGGTCGACAGCGCGGCCCTCCCAACGGACCCTGGCCAGCGCTCGCCTTTGACCCTGGGGGCTCGCGGCAACGGCAGGGATCTCCTCGACCATCGGCAAGGGGACCAGTTCGCGCCGTCGTCCATCACAACATGGGCGTCGCTCAGGCGCGTAGCCGCACGGGTCGCGACAGCTGTTGCGGCCTCGGAGGCGCGGACGAGGTCGCCCGAGCCTCAACGCGGAGTCATCGCTCATCAGCTCTGGGAGGCGGCGCTCGCGCCCCCCCATTGCCTTGTTGCCTCGGCCCATGGAGCTGGAGCGGCGCAAGCGGAGCTCGTCGCGTGCTTTGCGCTGCTTCTTGGCCACCTCCGCCTCGCAAGCGACCTGGCCTGCGACGAAACGTCGGAGGCCTGGCGCGACGGTCGCTCCACCTGCTCGGCATGGGCACCCCACGCAGTGGTCGGCTGCCCCGCAGTCTGGGGAAAACGGGTTGGTCCGGGCTGGGCCTCCGCACGATGAGCTCGCACGAATGGAGGTTGCAAGCATTGGGCCGGTCGATGACTAGCATCGAGCACAGCAAGACACACAGGACGCGGTGCTCGCGAATGGACCGGTCCCCCGAAGGGACGCGAGAGGTGCGAACCCACTCGTCGTGATGAGACAGCGAAGCAGCGCCTCCATCCCTCCAACGCCGAAGCGCCCACCCGACTGAGCCGCTCCCTTCCAGCACGGGCTCCGAAGCGGCGAGTCGTTCAGCAGGTTGACGGCCTCGGCGAAATCACGGCGTCGGCTGCCTCGCCAGTCGAAGCCACTGGGAATACTCGCAAGTCACCGTTTGCGTGACCAGCCACCTCGTTGAAATTCATATGCCTGGCGCCTGGCGAAAACGGTACACTGAGACAGCTCGACGATCGCCGTGTCGCCGACGATCGTGGGAGCGTCACCCATGTCCGCGATGATGTGGCCGCGCGAGTGTCCTGCCGCATTCTCAGCGACCACCCACGCGCGCTGGACAGCATCAGCAGCCGCACCGCCGGGCCGCGGCACGGCGGCGGCCGCCGCTGGCGGAGCAGCCGTGGGGACTGCGACTCTTGAGATGAGCGCGCTGTCCGCGAGGAACTGGGACCGCTCCGCTGGAGTGGGGACGTGCTTGAACCTGTAGATCCGATTGGCGTTGACCCCGCTGGCACGGCACCTGGACCAGCCAGCGCACGGATGTCCAGCAGGTCGAGGTTGGCCAGGGAGGTCTGCTCGATGTAGTGGTCGACGTCGGGCGCGAGGACGGCGCAGTGGGCGTCGGCCCCGACTGGCGTGATGAGCACCTCATGGTAGAGGGGGGCGGCGACCCCTGGGATGTCGTAAGCCAGCAGCAGCCATACTCCAGACGCGAGGGCCACCAGCGAGTAGCAGCCCCAGCCCGCACCGCGACCACCGCCAAGCGCGTCTCGTCAGCCAAGTCCGAGCCCAGCACCTCGCTCCCCGGGCGCTCCTCCAGCGCCAGCGCCTGGGGCCTGCTCGCAGCCCCGCTCCGAGGGGAGGCCTCACCCGCGCCTGGCAGGCCCAGCGGCGCCGGCGGCGCGTGGGCGGCCCGCCGACGCAGGCAGCTGGCGCAGAGCAGGGCGACGAGAAGACCCCCGGCCAGGCCACCTACCCCGAAGTCCGTGACGACGAGAGGCCCGACTAGTCCCGGGCAGAAGGGCGCCGGCGGGCAGACGGTCAGCCTCTCCGGGGGGCCCGCACGGCCGGAGCTGCTGGCAGAGCGGCTCGAGGACACCCGCAGGCGGGGCGCGCGGGCGTGCAGTCGCACACGCAGGAGTGCGCACTGACGGAGTCGGCCACTAGCGAGCCGAGCGTGGAGCACCCCAGTTGCAACACCAAGTCCACGCCCTGCCGGCCGAGGAAGGGCGCTCGAAGAGATTCCTGAGCCGAAGAACTGCGGGGAGCATAGGAAGGTGGCGCTCTCCCGTGTACCACTTGATAACCATTAAAGCTACAACATCCTCGCCATCGCCATCGTCATCGTCGCCCTCATGAGCATCAACAACAACAGCAGCACCATCATCATCATCATCATCATCATCATCATCATCATCATCATCATCATCATCATCATCATCATCATCATCATCATCATCATCATCATCTGCAGCAGCAGCAGCATCATCATCATCATCATCATCATCATCTGCAGCAGCAGCACTGGCATCCTCATCAGATTCAGCATCGTCATCAGCATCACCACCATTAGCATCACCATCATCATCATCACCACCACCATCATCATCATCATCATCATCAATGATCCTCATCATCATCATCATAATAATAATCATCATCATTATAAAAAATCCCCATCCAGATTCCGTCCGCCTCCTACTCCCGTCGCCACCATCATGGACAACAAAGAAACCACCATCATGATAGTAATCGCCTTCTTCACCATCAGCAGCAGCAATATCATCATCAACATCATTAGCAGCAGCATCGTCATCAGCATCATCATCATCACCATCATCAGCATCATCATTATTATCGGCATCATCATCATTGTCGTCGCCGTCATCGTCATCATCGCCACTGCTATCATGTCATCATAATCATAATCAGCATCGTCATCATCATCAGCACCAGCACCATCATCACCATCATCATCATCAGCATCAGCATCATCATCTGCATCATCCTCAGCAGCCTCATCATCGTCATCATATGTGCAGAATCGTCATCAGCATCATCAGCATCATCATCACCACCACCAGCATCATCATTATACAATTCCCCCTCCAGCGTCTGCCCTCGCCATCCTCCCGTCGCCACCATTATGTACAACAACGGCACCACAAGCATAATAAGAATCGCCTTCCTCATCATCATCAGCAGCAGCAACACCATCATCAGCATCATCATCATCGTCAGCATCACCATCGTCATCATCATCATCATCATCACCACTATCACCACCAGCATCATCATCATACAATTCCCCCTCCAGCGTCTGCCCGCCTCATCTTCCCGCCGCCACTAGCATGGACACTTAAGGCACCACAAGCATCATAGGAATCGCCTTCCTCATCATCATCATCATCATCAGCAGCAGCAGCAGCAACACCATCATCATCATCAACGTGATCATCTACATCATCATCAACAACATCAGGATGATCATCATCAGCATCGTCATCATCAGCAGCATCATCATTGTCGTCGTCGTCCGCATCATCACCATCATCACCATCAAACACAACATCCTTGTCATCGTCGCCGTTGTTATCGTCATCATCGCCATCATCAGCATGATCAGCGTGGTCAACATCATTATTGTCATCGTAATCACCATCATCATGAACATCCTCATTGTCATCGTGTACATCATCATCAGCAGAAGCAGCAGCGTCATCGTTATCGCCATCGTGATCGTCATCTGCTTCAGCATCGCCATCGTCGTCATCATAACCATCATTATCACCGTCTTGAACATTGTCGTCGGCAGCATCGCCATCAATGTAATCATCTTCGGCGGCGACATCGTCATCGCCTGCATCATCTCCGCATCATCTGCCGTTTCTGCCGTTTCTCGCTAAGCCAGCGTCTGAGCAGCCGGCCCAAGGCGCGGATCGCGAGCAGCGACCCCCAGAGGTCGTGCCCACGCTCGAACGACGGCCCAGGGCCCCCGACCCCGAGGAAGGAAGGCGGGAACGAGGACCTCGGGATGCTTAAGGAGCCGACGAAGCTTCCATAGCGTGTGGCCGCGATTGTCTCCAGGGACATCTCGTCCCTGCCCGCCAGGAAGACGTCGGCGATCGCCGCCTGGTGGGTCCACTCCGACGTCGGGTGTGCATCGGTGCTGCTCCGCTGTCTCTCTCTTGCTCACCCAGCATCCACCTTCTCCTCCCACCCTTCTTTCTCCACTCCTCCCCCCTCCTCTATCATTCTAGTGCCCCCCTCCCCTGTAAGAGAGCACACTGCAGCGCTTGCCGTAACCGATCACCTCCGCAAGGCCAAGACGGCCCATTTGGACAATGCGGGTGTAGCCGAAATTTGGGCCAAGTCCAGGCATTCGAACCTCAATCGGAATTGGTACGACCCAGGTGCCTGCATGTTTCACATCGAACGTGCTCCTCGAAGCCTTGAGATCCCCGAGGTAAAGGCCCAGGAAGTCCCTGACTCGTTAGCACGCATTTCATCCGATTTGCTGAAGGCCAGAGGCAACCAAGAAGCTGACGCAGATGCAGAAGCAGGCACTCGCTTGCAGACTGGCCACAGCTCGGCCGAGGTAGAATCATCGGAGACTCTGGGTGAAACAATGAAGCTCTTTTTACAGTTCATTCCTTCTGCTCTTTTTCTTTGGCAATCTCCCCGAAAGGGAAGCTGGCTTTAGTGAGACCGACACTGCTTCAAGGAAGCAAAGCTACATCATCGACGTGCTTGGGCAACATGCCTAAGAGCATCTACGACGTCGTCAGGAGATGCAGGAGGAGCGGGGAACCACCAAGACAGGAAATGATACAGTCGGGGCGTTGACCTAAGGAACCCTAAATCAGGAACTAGGCCCCTGTTTTCCACAAGTCGAACTTCGATCTCCCATCGAAAATCTAAGGACAACCTAAAACAAATTGTGAAACAATCAAGGAACACGGAGCCCCTCCCCAGCGAAAATGGTTCCTTCTTCAGCGCCCCGACTGTAGCCCCCTGCCTCGGCCTCATCCTCCTCATCCGGTCCCACAGGCTGTTGAGCAGCAGCACAGATGAAGATGGAGACAGGTTGGCTCTTGGACCGGCCTCAATTGCCAAAGCGAAGCACCAAATCAAGGGTAGAGCCCTCGCACATCCACTACCATCTCCCGATTCCCTCTGTTCCTCTTCCTTCTCCTCCTCTTGAGGGATGCTCTGTATCCATTTCTTAGGGCCTCGGTGCACAATCACAATCAGTTGAACCACCACTTGTACGCCACAGAGCTACCTACGGGGATCGCACTTCTGTGTAAGGCTTGCAGCAGCTACGTACTCCGAAGGAGCACGCGCCGTAAAACTGGAAGCCAAACGTCTGCCTGCTAAAGCTTCCCGCCGTCAATCCCGGAAACTACAGACATGGGAACGGCCGTATCGGTGCGAGGGGGCTCAGCGGTCTTATGCTGTCCTTGGGTGCGTGGGTGACGTGGCTTTCAGCAATGCCGATGTCTATGGTCGTCAGCGCCGTCGCTATCGCTGTCGAACCCCCGCGCCACACCCCGACGGCCCACCCCGCAGTCCGCCCACGACGCACCCGCGACCCACCCGCGACCCTCCCGCGACCCACCCGCGACCCACCCGCGACCCGCCCGCGACCCACTGACTACCTACCAGACCACCCCAACCCAACCTGCAGACCCAAGCTTCGGGTTGGGGGGGGTATGGGCTCCATATGTGTTTCTTCGATGCTCCCAGACCCCCCCCCTGGAAATGGAGAGCCAATTGAGGCTTTCGGGTTGGGTTGGGCTGGTCTGGTGGGTGGTGACCCACGCCCAGCCCACGCCCGCGACCCACCCACACAGCACTGAAAAGATTGCCGCCTGCGGCGGGGCAGCGATCTTCCACAAAATCTCGACGCCTGCGACGGGCTGCTGCACATGACAGTCAACCCGTATAGCCAGGACGCAGGATAAGAATACAAGGGCCGTGGAAGGGCATGTCGACACTTTGCGGGCGGGGCGCGACCAGCGAAAGCAGCCAATGATGAGCCGAGGGAGAAGGCTGCAAGGGTAACCTTGGAAAGTCGTTCATCCTTACTTGCCAGGCGAAGATTTATACATATCAACCGCCTGGGAACCGACGTCCTGGTGCCCGATCGGGCGGTGGATATTGATATATGTTGGCCCTGGGAGGCCCGAATATATCCAGATCCACCGCCTGTGGAAGCCCCCTGCGGCTCCGTAGTGGCACCAAGATGGCTCCCTGAGAACCCCTCACGGGGCCCGAAAAGGCCAAAACTGGCGCATTTTAAAAGAACACTGACGTGTTTGGCCAACTCGTCCTGACGCCCTGCCCAGCAACCCGAAACAGGCCAACAGGCTTCCAGGAGGGCCCCACAACGGCTCCTGGCGGCACTGGGGCGGCCCAAGAGTCACCAAAGGCAACCCAAGAGGACCCCGAGACGGGCGCAGGACCGCCCAAAATGGCCCCATGACGGCCCCACGGTCCCCACCCAGCCCAAGATATCCCCACCGCAAGCCTGCAGAATCCACGCCTGGAAGTGACGTGTTGCCGGAGGCAGGTCCGCGGATGCTGCAACGCAATGGATCCAATGTATCCAATGACTGCACAATTTGCACATACTGTATTACGTTTCATTCTTATGTCCCCCCTAACCACCCGCCGACCAGGGTGGCCCACCCCTTCTGGATCCCAAAAACGTACAAAACCCTATGGAAAATCTGTGATTTGGGGTCATGGGGCCTCTTGGGGGTCCAAGCGTGCATCAAGACGGCTCAGGATGGCCTCCAAACGGGCCAAGATGACCCCAAGACGATCCAAGATGGCCCCAAGAGGGCCCGAAAAGCTCCCAAAGAAGGCCCCAGAGGGCCCCAAAAGGACCCCCAAGAGCGCCTCAAGAGGCCAAAATCATTGTTTCCCCTTGGGTGCTTTAAAGAATTTAGCGTTCTCGTCGCACTCTACTGTTCCAGGCCTGGATCCGACCCCGTTCTAGATACGCCCCCCCGTCGAGGGCGCGACGTCTTCACAAAACGCGATGAAGTCCCACGCGAGAGCGCGATTCCTGCAGAAAGCGTGAGGAAATCACGCGCGAGAGCGCGATTTGGAAATGCATTGTGAGGAAGTATCAAGCGGGAGTCGTTGTTGTTGTTGAAATCTCACCATTGGAAAATAATCATTGTTGATCCCCCTCCAGTGACCATTGTATGTAATTCAATTGCAATGCTTCCCCTGGGGCTGGCACCCTGTTCTTCTTACATAACAGCTTTTGCTGATAGGTTTCTAGTGGTCTCAAAAGAGAGCAGCAGATGACTCCACAGGGGGGTCGGGGCGGGACCCGGACAGGCTGCCGCCGCGGCTGCCGCCGAAGCCGAAATCGCTTGGGACATCCTCGCAAAATCGCTCTTGGTGCTCCCAGAACTCCATTCCCGGGCCACATTTTGGATGCCCGGAGCCAACTGTAGGCCACTTCGTGCTCTTCGACTTCCCAGAACTCCATTCCCGGGCCACATTTTGGATGCCCGGAGCCAACTGTAGGCCACTTCGTGGTCTTCGAGTTCCCAGAACTCCATTCCCGGGCCACATTTTGATGCCCGGAGCCAACTGTAGGCCACTTCGTGGTCTTCGAGTTCCCAGAACTCCATTCCTGGGCATGATTTTGAATGCCCGGAGCCAACTGTAGGCCACTTCGTGTCTTCGAGTTCCCAGAACTCCATTCCCGGGCCACATTTTGAATGCTGAGGCAGGCTGAAGGCTGAGGCAGGCTGAGGCTGAGGCAGGCTGAGGCTGAGGCCGAGGCTGAAGGCAGACTGAGGCTGAGGCTGAAGCAGGCTGAGGCTGAGGCTGAGGCAGGCTGAGGCTGAGGCTGAGGCAGGCTGATGCTGAGGCAGGCTGAGGCTGAGGCTGAGGCTGATGCAGGCTGAGGCTGAGGCAGCCTGAGGCTGACGCCGAGGCTGAGGCTGAGGCAGGCCGAGGCCGAGGCTGACGCAGGCTGAGGCCGAGGCAGGCTGAGGCTGAGGCTGAGGCAGGCTGAGGCTGAGGCAGGCTGAGGCTAAGGCTGTGGCTGTGACTGCCGTTGCCACTGCGACTGTCATCGCGAATGCGACTACGACTGCGAGAACAGCAGAATTCTACAACTGGATTATCATATGAATCGTAAGGGGAATGCTTCCATATATGCTCTTACACATCGCTGTTAGGTTGCTTTGCCGGGATAATTTATCAGGGAACGTCATGGGGCTCAAACTGTGTTGCTGGCCCCGAGTTTACAACAACAACGGCTCCCGCCTGACCGTTCCTCACAATAGATTACAAATCGTGCTCTCGCGCGGGACTTCCTCGCAATGTGTATGCGAACCGCGCTCTCGCGTGGGACTTCCTCGCAGCTTATTTAAATGATGCGCCCTCGACACTCAGGAATCACGCGCTCGGTTTTGCTTTCTCACGATTTACTTGGGAATCGCGCTATCGCTCAAGACTTCCTCGCGATTCATGCAGGACCCACGTTTCAGCCACCCGCCTGCTCGGCCTGGTCGCCTGGGCCCGCCTTCCCGACCTGCCCGCTATGGGTCTGCCCACCCGATCTGCCCGTCTGGTTATACCACTTGTGTTCTGGTCCTTGCCCCCCTGCTGCTAATTTCTCTCGTGTTCCATTGTTCTCCCTCCTCCTCCCACCTCTTCTCTTCCCGTGTTTCAGGGGTTGCACTAATGCCCGTGGCGGGCAAGGAAGATATACCCCCAAGGGGGTACGACCGATGACGACGAGGGCGGGTACCGAGGGCTTGGGATATACGTATTGAATGACACGTGAGCAGATAGAAGCGGACAGGATTGAAATGATTGCTGTTGTTGTTGTAAGTTGGGGCCCAACGACACAATTTGGTGGCACAGCATTCTCCCGTGAGAAAAAAAAACGGGTGCGAGCCCCATGACAACTTTAATTGAAAATACAATGGTTACCGGAAGGGGGATTAACAATAATTGAGCCCATAAATGACACCAACAAAAAACACAGCAACAACAACAACAACAACACCAACAACAACAGCAACAACCGCAGCAACAACAACGACAACAACAACAACAACAACAACACCAACAACAACAACAACAACAACAACAACACCTACAACAACAGTGGCAACAACAAAAGCAGCAGCAACAGCACAAACAGCAACAACTACAACAGCACCGACACCAACAACAGCAATCAAAATAAACATTACAACCACGACGACGACGACGACGACAACGCCAACAACAACAACAACAACAACAACTGCAGCAACAATCATGTTAAGACGGTTCTCTCGTATCTGCTCGCGTGCCACCCAACACGTATATCCCAAACCCTCGATACCCGCCCTCTTGTTCTTCGATCGTACCCCCTTCGGGGTGTACCTTTCTTACCTGCAACGTGTGTATTTCGTGCAGCCTCTAAGGCAAGGAGAAGAGAGGACGGATGGAAGGAAGGGACAAGGGGGAGGGAGGAAGATGGAGCACGAGAGAGAATAGCAGGAGGGGGGCCGGGAGCAAAAAACACGTGGCAGGACCAGACGGGCAAATCGGGCGGGTAGACACTACCGGGCGGGTCAGGAAGGCGGGCCTAGACGGCCAGGTCGAGCAGACTAGTTGCTAAAGCGTGCGTCCTGCATGAGTCACGAGAAAGTCTCGAGCGATAGCGCGATTCCCCTATAGATCATGACGAAATCCACAGCGAGAGCGTGATTCCTGAGTGTCGCGGGCGTGGCGTCTGAAAAAACTGCAAAGATGTCCCACGCGAAAGCGTGATTCCTGCATTAAATTATGAGGACGTCACTCGCGAGAGCGCGATTTGGGAATAAAATGTGGGAAAATAGCAGGCGGGAGCCGTTGTTATTGCAAACCCGGGGCCAGGGGCACAGTTTGAGCAGGAAGATTTCCCCCAGTGAAAACACAGCGAGCCCCAGGAGGGGCACTTCAAGTGAAAAAAAACACGTATGTTACGCGAATGCGTGAGTCCTGCATCATTCGCCAGGAGGTCTCAGGCGAAAGCGCGATTCCTAAGTAAGTTATGAGGAAGTCCCAGGCGAGAGCGCGATTCCTGAATGGCGAAGGTGAGGCGCCTCAATAAATTTCGAGGGCGTCACAGGCGAGAGCGCAATTCTTTGATAAATTGCCCGGAAATCCCTAGCGAGAGCACGATTCCTCAGCAAATGTCGAAACAAGTATCAGGCGGAAGCCATTGTTGCTGTAGTCAAGGGGGGCCATCAACGCAGTTTGAAGAGGAAAATGTTCCCTGATACAAAGCATGGTGCAAGTCCTGCGAAGGGCACTTCAACTCAAAAAAACACATCATATGTTACTGGAGGGGGATCAACGATCGTGAATTATTATTATTCAATAGTGAGACAGACTTAAACAGACATGTTAAAACTGTTCGCTCGTATCTGCTCGCGTGCCACTCACCACGTATATCCCAAACCCTCGATACCCGCACTCTTCGTCTTCGATCGTACCGCCTTGGGGGTAGATCTTTCTGACCTGCAACGTGTATCTCGTGCAGCCCCAAGGCAGGGGAAGAGAAGACGGATGGAAGCAAGGGACAAGTGGTAGGGGGGAGGATGAAGCACGAAGGAGAGTAGCAGGAGGGTGGCTAGGGGCAGAAAACACATGGCAAAACCAGACGGGCACATCGGGCGGGTAGACCCTAACAGGCAGGTCGGGAAGGCGGGCACAAGCGGCCATGTCGTGCAGGCGGGTTGCTGAAGCATGCGTCCCGCATGAACCGCGAAGAGGTCTCGAGCGACAGCGCAAATTCCACATAAATCGTCAGGAAATCCACAGCGTGAGCGAGACTCCTGAGTGTCGAGGGCGCGGTGTCTGAATAAATTGCGAGGAAGTCCCTCGCGAGAGCGCGTTTTTTTGCATAATGCGTAAGGAAGTCCCGCGCGAGAGCACGATTTGGAAATAAATTGTGAGGCAGAATCAACCGGGAGCCGCTGTGGTTATAACCGAAGGTCAACAACTCAATTCTGGAACCCAATACTTTCCCCCGATTAAAAACAGGGTGCGAGTCCTGGGAAGGGCACTTCACATGAAAAAACACAATGTGCCCTGGAGGGGCGATCGACAAGACTTACTCTTCAGTAATGAAAGATCAACAGCAATCAGTTAAGTTTGTTCGCTCTTACCTGCTCGCGTGCCACTCATCACCTGTATCCCAAACCCTCGATACCCGCCCTCTTCGCCTTCGATCGTACCCCCTTAGGGGTATAATTTTCTTACCTGTAACGTGTATTTCGTGCAGCCCCTAAGGCAAAGGAAGAGGGTTCGGATGGAAGCAAAGGACAAGTGGTAGGGAGGAGGATGAAGCACGAGGGAGAGTAGCAGGAGGAGGGACTAGGGTCAGAAAACACGTGGCAGAACCAGACGGGCAGATCGGGCGGGTAAACCCTAACAGGCGGGTCGGAAGGTGGGCCCAGGCGGCCAGGTCGAGCAGGCGGGTTGCTGAAGCGTGCGTCCTGCATAAATCGCGAGGAAGTCTCCAGCGATAGCGCGATTCGTGATTCCTAAATGTCGAAGACGTGGCGTTTAAATACATTGTAAGGAACTCCCACGCGAGAGCACGATTCCTGCAAAGTGTGGGGAAGTCCCGCGCGAGAGCGCGACGTTGCAATACACTGTGAGGAGGTATCAGGCGGGAGCCGTTGTTGCTGTAACTCGGTGGCCAGAGCCAGTTCTGTGACACCTCAATTTCCCTTGTAAAAAAAGAAAGAAAAAAAAAGTGCTAGCCCCGAGGGAAGCAACTTCAAGTGCAAAATGGAATGGCTACCGGGCAGAGGGATCCACAACAACTGCTCTTCAGAAGTGGGCACCCGGCGCCACTGGCCGAGGCGAGGGGAGCCCCTGGGGGGGGGGGGGGCGGCGGAGGCCTGGCAGTCGAGGTCGGAGTGCGCGAGCAGGCAGCCCACGACGTTGCTCGCCGTCTTGTGCGTGGCGTGCTTGAGCACGTGCGGCAGCAGCTCGCGCGCGCGCGCGCCCGCGCCGCGACCGGCGCCTGCCAACGCCGCGCCCTGAGGAGCGAGGGAGGAGGAGGAGGAGCGAGGGAGGAGGAGGAGGAGCGAGGGAGGAGGAGGAGGAGGAGGAGGAGGAGGAGCGAGGGAGGAGGAGGAGGAGGAGGCGCGTGTCCCGAGGGCTCGTGCCACGCGCCGCGAGGCCCGCCCGCCCTTCCGTGCCCTCGGGGGGGCACGGCCGGACGCCCCGGCGCCGGCCACGCCTCGCCTCCGGCCCTCGCGGCCGCCCAGGAGCGGCACCCGCGGGAGGGAGGGAAGGCCTCTCTCCCTGCCGGCGCTGCGCTCGAGGGCTCTCGCAGCGGCTTGCAGGGGAGGGGGGCAACAGAGAGTAGCCCCACATGGGAGACGGGGCGCCCGAGATCGTCCAGCCGAGAGCGCCCGGTCCAGAGGCCGTTTCGCCGGGCACCTCGCCACGGCTTGTTCCAGAGTCGTGCTCTCGCCGCAATGCCGGCTGCATCTTTGGCCTGAACGGCCACGGTCCACTGTAAATAACACGACGGTGCACCTGAGGCAGGAGAGCGCAGAATCGAAGCGAAAATTCGAATCGGCCATCGAAATTAATCGGAGCGGCGGAGATCGACAAACAAGTCGGGAGGAGTCCTATCGGCGGAAACCGGCGGATTAGCTAGGCCTCATTGAGACATCGGAGTCCAGATCGGAATCCGACGCCGAATCGAGTCGGAATCGGAAGCCATCGAGGTCGAATCGAACCGAATCGGAGGAATCGAAACGAGCCCCGAGCTTTGCGGCTATTGGGTTGGCTTGCTGGGCAGCTCCTCACTGACGCCCCCTGTGGTTGTCTCACGCAGCGCGCCGCCGAGGAACCCGCAGACCAGAGTGAAGGGGCCCTGGGACACACAGATAAATAGACACAGATAGCAGGAGTCCCAATATTTTCTTATATTTTCTGGGTTTTTCTCTTCCCCCCGCACTTCCCATATTTCCCCATATTTTCTGGGGGATCGACGATTAATTGTGTCTGTGTGCTTTTTTCCCTCCTGAAGACCAGAGGGAGGAGCAGAGCGGAGGACGAGGGCGTCGTGTGCGGGGCACCTTTTTTTTGACAGAGGTGGGGGCGGAGAGCGGGGCGTGAGCGGTGGAGGCCGACCAGCCACAACTGGGGGCGCTGTGGTCCTTACCCCCCTGGTGGAACCCATCGCATCGACGATCTCTCGGGAGGGGTGTCGAAATCGATGGGTCCCCCAGGGGGGTAAGGACCACAGCTCCCCCAGTTGTGGCTGGCCTGGGAGGGGCATCGGGCGAGAATGATGTCGTGATGCGATTGGCTCAGGATGCGTTCCAAGATTTCCAGAGTTCCTCGTTTCTGGAAACCGTGAGGAGCAACTCTCGGAAATCGCGGAGGACTGGACAATCTTGGAAGCCTTGGGGCGTCTCATTGTAATGACTCCTCGCTCCTCTGAGCAGGGCGAGACCAAGACCATAATCGAACCGGGAAAAAGCGGAGCATCGAACCGGAACGTGCGTCGGACCGAGCGCCGCATCGGCGCGGAGCCGGGATCGAACAATCGGCCGCGCCGGGGTGCACCGAGGTCGACATCGAATCGGGTCGGCGGGACAGGAATATTGGAAGCCTGGAAATTGGCACCAACACTATCACAGGGGGTTGCCTCCACATGGGAAAAATGATCTTAGATTTCTGCGTTGGTGGTAATATTTCGGTCACCTTGGAAGCCAAAATATTACCACCATCACCGAGATCGGGATATTCTTCCCTCGGTGGAGGCACAACGCCGATCTTGGTGTTGGTGTCAACCTCTAGGCGATAATAGGCCCAGGGGGGGCACGGCGGGAAATACTCAGCCCCGGCCCTCCTGCCAGCCCGCCTCCGGTTGCGTGTCGCGTCGTTGGGTCCTACAAGCCACCAACCCGCCCACCGACTCACTGACTCCTCCTCCTCCTCCTCCTCCTCCTCCTCCTCCCCCCTCCTCCTCCTCCTCCTCCTCCTCCTCCTCCTCCTCCTCCTC